GATGAACCCATCTTGAATATTTGCCTTAGTACTAATGGCCTGAACTATGTCTTAAATAGCTAGCCACAGAATGTTTTCAGATGATTAAAAGAACTAAAAGTTATCCAAGGAACTTGTCAAGCATTTTTGGGTCAGTATCCTAGCTGATTCTGTCTGTAGATGTTATTGTCTTAATTTGGTTTGATAGACTTGTATCACAAGTTGTCATCTCTTCCAGTGTCAGAGTGTAAATGTATTTTAGATGTCAACTATATGTAACACTGTAGAATTGATCTGAATCACAGATCACATAAACACTATCAAATAACACACGATTCACAAAATTTGAATGTCAGTGACAACGTTTGGTTAGAAAGAGTCAACAAATTTCTTGGGAATTTAATGATTTTTTGCGTTGAGTTAAATTCAGGTGTCTGCAGAAAAAGTAAACAGTTGCTGTCCGGTGCTATGACACCTGCAATAATTTGGATTTTTAACATGCTGGTTTCAATTTTTGTTTGCTCTGAACAATTTTACTTGTCTTAAATGATATGAATTGTAAAGTAATGATCCTGATGCAAAGATAACACATTTTATTTCTTTATTCAAGTGTAAATAGATTTATCAAAAAAACATTTTGTATTAAAGAGTAGACTTAATAATGCTTATTATTGTTCTATCAACTCAAAATAATAGTGAAATTAAATTTAATTGTTTGTTATGAAAATTATTAAAGAATGACAAAGCAAACTTGAGATTCCTTGCTGTCTAGTTCTGCCTGTATAACATATGGACCTACAGTTTTTTTTGTTTCATCCCTAATATGTCTAGTCTGCCTAATACAAATTGTCCTGACTAAACTAAACTTCATAAACAGAAGAGTCGATAAAGCTAATGACATTGTATTTAGTTTATAAATCAATAAAAATTATGTAAATGACTATAATTGTCTCTAAAGATAGAGAGTTGAAATTCGGTCAATATGAATTGATCATAAAAGACATATAACCTCACTATAAGTATATACAGACAAAAAGAAAATTTAATAATAGAAAATCCAATTAGCAGGCTTATTTGAGAAAGTGAAATTTTTGTGATAAACATAAACTTGTAAAAAAAAGTTAAATTGATTATGAAAAATAAAATTTAAACTAAAATGTCAAACTAAGAGACAAAATGAAATGTTATTATAGAAAATAAAATTACTTGTTACATTAGATCTATTTTCTTTAAGCAACCACCTGTCGATTTTGTCCACCAATGTAAAACATAAATTGTCAAATTACCTCTCTTATTGTCAGGTTTTAACAAAGAGTATATATATATATAGTTCATTTTAAAGGGGAAGTTTGCAAAACGGTTTGATATTATTGAAAACCTCAGAATAAGTAGGATACATATTTCTTTACAATTGGGAATTTATTTTGCGTAAGTTTTCTTACAGCTACCAAAAAGCATAATAAACTTCATAAATAGTTTACGGCAAAGTTTTAAATGGTTTTGGTGTTAAGAAATTTAACTGCTGAATATTTTAAGTTAAAACTTTCAGTTAGAAGAAAATAAGTCTTCATAAATTGAAGCCAAAATTTTGCTGTAGATACAGTCATAAATTGTCCATGATAAGGTTTCTAAAAGAGATACTCTAAGTATATTCATATTGATCTAGATAGGATATTTTGTTGATAGAAAATATTCACTATATAGATATGGTATATTAAAACTTTTTTACTTATTAAAATACATTCAACTGAAATATTTGTTAATGCAATGATTTTAAAGATGGGTATCCTTATTTTCATTTTTGAAAAGATTTTTGAAAATGAAAATGCTTATATGAATAGAAAGTAGAAGTCTTCTTATGACATGGAAAAATACCACATAATTAATTCATAATTAGCTAAATTATAAGAGAATTACCAGTAGAATTCCAATGAGTGACCGATCAGAAAAGGTCAAAAAGTCTTTTTTTTTGCTTATCCATACTGTACAAACACAGGCATTTACGATTGGTTATAACTCTTAATTATATGCAATAAGAACATAATGATATGATTATTCATTAGAAACACCAATTTATCAAATAGTTGGCTTAATTTGACAAAATAAGGCAACCTATCTTTAAGTTATAATTGGCGATTAGTCATCATTGATGCAAGAATATGTGTTTATGATTCTTGTTAAAGAATGAAAATTTACCATTGTTTTCTTTAACATTCTGTCAAATCTGTTTTTAATCATAATTTAAGAGTAAAAAATCTGTTTTCATTTTGTGCTAATATGGAATTTCCTTTAAAACTGAAATAGTTCAGAGTGAAAAGAATAGCCATATTGTTTGAATCAGGCCAATTAAACCAATTATAATAAATCTTAGACTATTGAGTTCAGACTAGTATGAATACAAATTCAAATTTAGAATTTTTTTTTTTTAATTTTGGATGAAAAGAACTAGAAAACCATCATTTAAGATATAAATGTTTTCTTACTGAATGTATTGAAAGTCATCACATTTTGATAGAACCTGAAAGACAGGGTTCACATCAGATACGAATGCATCATTCTGCGCAAAGATTAAATTGGAAAAAGTCCTTAAAAATTTGTTGATGATATACAATGACTAACAGCAACAACATTCAGCTAAACCAGCCAACATCTCTTTTTGCATAATTCAACAAAACTATACCTTTGGAAATATGAAGTTATTGCTGTCAATTATATAAATTGCATTATTTAAAAATTTGATACCAATAAGTTACGCTAAGTAATATAATTATTGCTTTTAAAACGTAGGTTACATATACATACATAATGGACTGAGTAGTAGGGTCATTAACTAATTTGTCAGGTAAGTGAAGTCATTTTGTTGATACCATCTGTTTCACAAGGTTTATACAACTAAAGACATTATAAACCAAGTCTCTCCTTTTACCAATACATCAATATTATGATAGCAAAATCAATAATTAGTTTCACAAACCTTAAAAATTAGACAAAAATGATAATAAGAAATACAATAATAAAATATTTTCACTGTTAAAATAGTGTTCAATACATAATTGTAGAGCGAAATAAGAAATATACAGATTTAACAATATTAGCCATTTTGACTCTGAAATGGATGACAGATTGACAAGCCCAGTTGCAGAGTTGCATCAGGTGTTGCATAAGGAGCAAAAATTCCATGACACTTTATTTGAAAAAAAATTGGAAATTCTTAGTAGCAGTTAGTTTATATAATTGTATTTTGATTTCATATTACAAGAGCTTACCTAATAGTGCAGACATCATTCTGTTTAGGATATGTAATCCTCATCAGGCTGGTTTTATGTGGTTTAAAATCTGGGTTATATTTCTAAAAATAAAGATTAGATGTATAAGTAAAGAAAGCAAACTCTCTCACCATGTATTCTTATGTATCTGAATTGATTGACTTAGTTTTTTTAGTCAAAAGATACACCATGGTGGCAAAGAATGAATTGGTCATTTTTGAATATCAAATCATCTTTTTTGTTCATGTTGAATTTTTTGCATTTGAAAATACATAAATATTAAGTCAAATGTGATAGTTTGGGCTGATGAAGACTGGCATGAATAGCAGAACACAACGAGAGGAAAATTAATAACTATCTAGGGATCTGAAACATGCACAAACATCACGTAAACTATACCACACAGCCTATATATAAACCTGCATATACTACTCAATTCACAGAACATATCGGACAATTGATCGGCATATGGCTAGGATTATTGGCAAGCCTGATCATTTTGAATTTTTTATGACTTTAATTAGAGCTTTAATTAATTGCTGAATCAGGTGAACATTAATTATTAATAGGCTATATTTAATTTAAATAATTAATCTGTATCATTGTTGAAACAATTGAGAGTTGTATTCAATTATAAATAAGCAATTGACAAGACTAGAGATTATAAAGCCATCTTTTCTGACCAGAACTTTCATTTTACAATTTGATGTGTAACTGTAAAGATGGAGGGAGTCGAAATACAGCAGGAGTCAGAGGTGAATTTATTTTTGTGGATCTGCTCATTAGGGATTAGGGGGTGAAAGTGGACAATGGGCCGACTTTCAGAAGCACAGGCATCAGAATTTGTCTTACCTTGAGGAGGATTCAAACCTACAGCGCATAATCACTTAGCAGGAGTAATTAACAACAGTGTTTTAAGTGTCAAATTTTATACTTGTATATGATGCAATAGTAGGTTATGTATTGTAACAGAAAAATCTGCTGTATTGATATTGTAATTATTTGTGACATCATCAAGTGAGGCATGCAATTGTGAATTAATCGGAATATTTTTTACTAACAGAGTTTCATTATATTCATGAGCAATATTTGGATATTGATATATAATTTAAAAACCTGTGTTGAAATCAAATATTGATATTAACATTTGGATAGTTTTAAAATCAATGATAATAGGATTTTTTTTTAATATTCAAATGTGTTAACATGGATTGATACAAACTGAAATAAACTTTGCCGTTTGAACAAGATTAAGTTAGTAATTAATGATAAGATGTATACTGTTGGTACTATCACTCTGGAAGAATTGATCCATGGCCCTGGTTCCGAACCAGTGGTTTTTTCACCCCCTGGAGAAGTGTGACTAGTGTGTCGAGAGTGTGGCCAACTGGTGTGGGAGAAGAAATTATTTTGAATTGAGAGAGCACTTGCTGCAAATGTGGATGAAACAAATTTTTGGGGTGTGAAAGGTCCACATGATTGCTCCAGGGTATGAAGGCTGAAATAGGTTGGGAACCAGTGATCAATGGTTAAATAACATTTCTTGTATTTACAAATAATGGGGTGTTATCTTCTAGTTACAATTGTCAAATAACACTATATTTATTCCATTCTTGGCAAAAAAAACAGATGTAAAAGTCTATTTCATTTCTATTCAAAAAGGAATGTTGTCATGTATCAGATTTCAGTGAAATTATTCATTATTGCTCTCTTTTTTTGGGTGAATGTTTCAATAAATTTTTTTCGTTTATATTTCAGGTGAGAACTCTATTTGTCAGTGGATTACCTATGGATGCTAAACCAAGAGAATTATATCTATTATTCAGGGCATATAAAGTAAGTAACAATTACTATACTTATACAACAGTTTGATTGTTGAGGTGCTTCCTCAATTATTTGATGTTTAGACTAAACTCTGAGGTTCTCCCAATCACTTTCAAGTGCAGGAACATCATTTATGCTTATGTCCAGAAAATATGATATCAATAATTTGTGATTTTGCTCATTGACTATGTTGTTTAAGTGGTATCAAATGGTTTCATTGTGAAGGTTGCTTTTAAAGTCTCTTCAATAATTGTTACGTCAAAATTTGATCTGAAAGAATTGTGTTTTTTATAAAATTCAGTATACATTGGAAATGTCAGAAAAAATAGATGATGCGTTATAAAAGTTGCATTAAATTCATGCTTGATTGCATGCTTGTAGAAGTAGCAATTTCTAATGTCTAGGAGACAAACAAACGTCTTGAAGAGTTTGCTGTACATCAAATGGTTTTACTTGGTAATTCTTATTGAAGCGTGTTCTATTGTCTGTGGTGGTCTCTTCAAGAATAACAGCTAACTATGATGTCGTTCAGTACAAAACAACAGATAATTCAATATAGATCTTTTAGTTATATATTATTTATATTCCACATTGTCTTCCATTAAACTCAAGCAATTTCAAACATTTCCCTGCGGTAATAGAAAATGAAAAAAGTGGCAAAGAGAAATTGATCATAACTATGTAAATACATCTTTATTAGAACTGGTCTTGTTTTCTTCAAGTGATGTTTACCTCTATATTAACAATCTACTTGTAGCTTTTGAACATTTTGCTTCTTGTAATTTGTTCAATCCTAAATTTTGTAATTTTTGTGGTTTACCCCAAGTTTAACAATTTATTTTGGTCTTTAAATAAGGTGGAATGCATATGTTCAAATTCAAAAGGTTGCTTTGATGAGGAACATTTTTTGTTTTTTCTCGCATTTTGAGGTACTAAATTTGAGGTATCGACTTAAGATAGTCGAATATAATAACCACATTACTTCATGTGAAATAAAAGTGAATACGTTGATGAAATGAAATGTTATATCCGTTCCAATACATGTATCCCTTTAAAGTCAGTATTGAAAATCTCTTATTTCTCTTCTAGCAAATCTTTGTTTAAAAATAAAATAAAGGTCTAGTATCAAAATAATCTGAATGGTTTCAAAAGTTAATATTTATTGACCTCATCCCACTTAAATTGTGTCTAAAACAATTACTCTCAATATTTACTCTTTCTACTGTTTTCTTCACCATATTGATTTTCTTTTGCCTGAGAATTGATCCAGAAAATATGCCAAGCTTCTTATCCCATCCCAGTACACGGCAAGTTACTTCAGGCATTTTCTCCCCTTCCTTTGAATCTTTTCTTCTCCGTCTACTTATCTTTCAGATGCTTTTACATTTCTATTATTGAACAGTTATTGGATTTTTCTTTAGCATTGAAGTAATGAGAGTTTGGTGGAAGTTTCAAGTTAGCATTTCCTGTTAACATCGTTGTTTACTCTTTTGAATTAAAAGTGGAATTCCCTTACAATTGTCATTCTTTTGTATTCATTGCATTTTTATAGAAAAAAAAACAATAGCAATTCTGTAGGCCTATAATTTATTCAAGTTGAAATGTCTGACATTTTCTGTATGACCTTCCTTAATGTTGTTAGTGTCAATTGGTTTTAAATTGTGATAGATTTCGGTTGAGCTTGATTTTAAATGATTCAGGTGCACAGAATTTAAGTTTTGTATCCCAAGTGATTTTTCTTCTAATAAGAAGTCTGTAATGGAGACATTATGGTTTTTTTCGGATGGTCAATATTTCAAAGACTAAAAGCAGTTTAGATTTTCTCTACTTAACTTGTTTATTATACAATCAAAAAGATTCAGAAAAACTTCTCTTATCATTAACATCTGGTTTAAAGAATTAGTGGCAAAATTTAGATTAATTTTAAGAATTTATTGTGAAGTTAAGATTTGGTTCAAATAATCTAAAACTTAATATAAAACTTAGATTTGGTTCAAAGAGGCTAAAATTAAGATTTTGTTACTAGAAACTAAAAAAAAAATTAACTTTGGTTTCAATAAAGTTACAAGAAGGTAAAACTTAGAATTGGTTCAAAAAAGCTCAACTTAAATTTGGTTCAAAAAAGCTTAAACTTAGATTTGGTTCAAAAAAGCTAAAACTTTACTATTGGTTCAAAAAACTCAAACTTAAATTTGGTTCAAAAAAGTTAAAACTTAGATTTGGTTTAAAGAAGCTAAAACTTAGATTTGGTTTAAAGAAGCTAAAACTTAGATTTGGTTTAAAGAAGCTAAAACTTAGATTTGGTTTAAAGAAGCTAAATTTTTAATTTGGTTCAAAGAAGCTTAAACTTAGATTTTTTTCAAAGAAGCTTAAACTTAGATTTGATTTTATCATAAATTTATAGAATATGATTATTATACTTTTCCACCTCTAAATAAGTGTCAGAACGCACCAAATCAATTAAATTTCATAAAATTTTCTAAGGTGAACCTTCTTGGACGCTCTGACAAGATGCCTTGGAAGAATCTAACATTAAGATTTGGTTAATGGTTATTGTAAAAGTGATGATGGATTTTCTCACCTCTATTAGTTGTATTGTTTTAAGGTTTAAGGTGCTAGTCTTGATAATGTTAAAGATTAATGATTTTTTGTCCACTGACACTAAGCATGGTATTTAAATCAATAAAACGGCAAGTCAGAATGTTGATTTACACTGTTATCTTTGCTTTCCCTATTGACATTAGTGAGATTTTTGATCATGTCAACAATACAAATTTCCCTCCGATTGCCTTCACAAATTATTCCCGTCTTATTGTTTCTTCACATTTCTATTTTCTTATGTCTGAGAAAACTTGCTGTGGAAATAATTTTGTGAAAAGTTCACATTATTCAAGTTCTAGTTCTGTTTTGTTATTGTTATAGTGACAACGCTGACAAATTATTATCATCATGTTTGAAATTGTTGAAATTACTCCAGAAATTCTTTAGATTGATATGTTTGATTAAACAAGTGAAGAGTTTGATACTGAAATTTTCAATGTTGTGAGAATAGTAAGGCTATAGGATGAGAAGAGTTGTTTCCCATTAGACTTAAGGTTATTGTTTTATACTAGCCAGTATTTTTAAAAGAGATTCCTTTAATCCCTTGAAGTCTGAGTGTAAATGAAATGAACCCTAAACTCCAAATAATATAAGTTCTATGATTACATTGTCTAACGCCATTGGGTAACAACAGGTTTACCGGGTATATATTGCGTAATTATGTGGTTGGGCTAGGATTAAAAGGTGTCATTTTTTCGGATGCAGTTATAGGCCTAGTTAAGCAAATAGAATTATAATATGGGCCAAAAATGCTTCACTTGTGTATAAAAGTCTCATTAATGGTGCATAATTTATTATAATTTACAGGGGTATGAAAATGCTCTTTTAAAAGTCATGGGTAAGACAACTAAAAATAACTGCGTGAGTATCTTGGTCACAAAAAATTTAAAACTCAAAATATGGTATCACTGTCAGCTTTGCATGGACACTTATGGTAACACATCCAAACACTTATAAATGTTAGTTTATGTCCATATTATATATTTATAGTATTATTATAATTCCTAGGTTAAGATTTTTTTTTTTGTGGCAGTCTAGGGTTTTAAGTTTGTTCTAACATGTAAAGTAAGTTCAATGAAGCAAGCAGATGAATGCGACGCAGCTAATAGTAGCAGGTTTACCATGACTGATTGAAATAAATTAATTTACGGGGATTTTGATTACGATGCTATATTATTTTGTGGTCTCACACATAGAGGGTCTTTTATCTCATTCCCTTTATATCTGTACCTTACCTTGAAATACTCTCTACCACCTTTTCTAATGCACACAAGAATGTTACACGCGCAACTTGTCAACTGGTGTGTCATGTTTTTTCAAAGGCCAAACACCAACCAACCAACACTAATGCAAATCTTTTTGACCCTCCTTTTAAATACATCTTCGAAGACAGTGGAAGGAAACTGAAGACAATCATCTTTTGTTGCTGCAAGTTAGCTTACACTATCCTTTTTGCCTCCTAAGAAAAAGAGTTGTGAAGTTAATTTGCCTTCAACAATGAAGAGTCCTAAGATTTCTCAGCTCCTTCTGCTTCTGTAGAAGATGTGTTCCACTTTGCTCTCACTCTCTCACCTTGTTGTTCACATGGCACTTTCTTTATTTCAGGGATATGAAGGGTCTTTATTAAAAGTTACCAGTAAAAATGGAAAGAACACATCAGTGAGTATCATGTCACCCATCCAAAATAGTAGAACAGCTCTCATACAAAATAATCAAGGCTACATCTAGAATCAATTGATATCGCTACGCTTGACATATTTTATCCAAATTATTCAAATGTTTTTGTGGCAGTGTAAAATCCTACTGTATGTCACTAGGTGGACACTTACCCCAAGTAAGCATTGCAGTGTTTTTTTAAGGACTTTGTGGTCTGCAATTTGAAGTATATTTGTAACTGCAAAATGAAGTATATTTTAACTGCAATTAGAAGTATATTTTAACTGCAAAATGAAGTATATTTAAACTACATACATATTGTATTTATAGTAATTGAATTTGTGAGAAAAAAGTCATCAAAATTTTAAATAAGTGTAAAGCCTTTTTGTCAATTCTTTTTTGAATCAGTGCTGATCCTACAAATATGTATACTGTATGTTTGACTATATACTGAATGTATTTTATGTTATGATATATGTAGATAGATTTCACGCATTACACTTAAATGCATGGTGCATTTTGCTGCCTCCCTTGATTCTGAATTTATACAACCCCCAAAAACGCTTTGGTTGATTCTTAACTTAGCATTTCGTATTGATGAAAATTCCTGTTTGGATGATACATCTAATTTTTCTTCAACATCTTTACTGTGCTCATGAAAGTTAACTGAAGAATTATTCTATCCTTCAGCTTCTTAACAAAAATATTTATCATTTTTTTCTCTTTACCAGCTGACCAGAGTTCAATTTTGTTTCTCAAAACATAATTGCTGTAATTTGGCATTCAGACATTTCATCCATTTTTGGAGACTGTCACATTAGGATTGGAAAGTTGAATGCCACTTTAACCCATTACTGTTAATTATTTTGATTTGATTGTAGACTCAATGTTGTTACTTGATTCTCAAAAATACCATGTGGAGATGACAATAAGTTAAAGCTGGTTTCTTGAATAACTAAGCTTAGTAATCTATCACTTTACTTTTATATTTTAAATTTTGTACATTTGTTTATACTGTATGTTTTGATTGAATTTCAGCCTGTTGGATTTGTTACATTTACTACCAGATTGGCAGCTGAAACTGCAAAACAAGATTTACAGGTAATGCTGTGGATTAGATCTTTGAATCAAAAACATCTGAGATTTTTGCTGATTTCAAAATTATTTTTGACCTCCAACTTCAACTTAGATAATGTTTGTGTACAGATCTTTGAATATGTTTATCACAAGGAGAAAACTGACAAATAGATATCCAATTCACAATGTTGAAAAGCTAACAAAATAAACAAGGTAGACAGGAAATGTGTCTAGCAAAAGATGCCAAGCAAATTTTGGTAGACAGTGAAAGGTATCTCTGTCCACCGCACCTCCACCTTAGTGCATTGCATCCAATAACCAATTGTAAATGATACACCTTGATCTGAAGTTAGGAAAGGTATGAAGGATTGAAAGCCGACATAAGTAAACACTGGTACAGGCATCAGAATTGTTCTTACCGTAGAACCCCTAATAGCTCAGCAGATGAAAAGCTACAAACTGAGCTAACCCCATAATAAGATTTATTACCGTCATTTAGAAGCAATATTGGTATATGCCATCAGGTTGTTAATGCTGTTATAAAATTTTAGGGAGTTCGATTTGATCCTGACCTACCACAAACACTTAGATTAGAGTTTGCAAAAAGCAATACAAAAGTTACAAAGCCTAAACAGCAGTCACCTCAACCAGCTGCAACCCACCCTACTATTATCCATCCTTTAACAGGCCGTAAGTATATCAGACTTTTCTTTCATAGTCGTAAATTTATTGGAGACCAAAAGGCTATTGATAAGGATGTTCAGCATGGCAGTTCTGATATATTTTTATCAAACAGAACGTAAAAAGAAAATTTTTGCGAAAGCCCTGTCTATATTACAAAAATTATCTGTTACAAGAAGGGAACGGATTTTAAATTAGTTGTGTCAGCAGTTGAGGACAGTTTCATTTGAGACCACTGCAGCAAGGTAGCCTCGAAACAGATACAATTTTGTAGTGTAACCGCTATCCATTTTGAGGAAAGTTTGTTGCGCATTCGTACAAACAAAATGTCTGCTGAAAGAATTATTTTTGCTTTCACCATGGTTATGGACATCAATTATTTACCTCTTTCGTGAAGTGTTCCATTACAATCTGTCTGAGAACAGTAGACCTTTTTAAACTATTATTACAGAACTGATTTAGATATCTAGATTAGCGATGCAGAACATCCATAATGATTACTTATTTGGTCTGACTAGAAATAGTCCAAATATTTAAATCATGTCTTCATGTTAAAAACTGTAGTCATGTAGTTTTTTTTAATGAATAAACTTTATAGATGACACACATCCTCATTCTGTCATAGTTTAAACCTTAATTTTGGATCTTAGCTGGTTTATAGGCTCTATCGTGGGTCTGATGGGTTGATGTAGGACATGGACAGGATATTGGTTGAAGATTGGTGTCTTCTATATAGCTATTTTAGAATTTTTCATTTATCTGAATGTAGCCATCATCTCTACTGTCAATTGCTCCCACCAACTTTCCACATCTTACTGCATGTAAGTGATCAGAAGCTATAAATTACAGTGGAGCTGGTTTTATATTCTCGCCCTTAAATTCTACTTGATTTCAATGGCTTATGGTTCATGAACATCATAGTTACGAGTAAGAACTAATTTTCAAAACTGGATATGATTTGACCACACAAATTCAGAAATTAACTTGCCTGGTGATACAACATTGGTCTGGAATTGATAACAGTCTAAACTTTTGGACATTTCGCAGAGTTTTAGGCTGTGTGATCTTCAGATAACTGATCTATTTCAGCCTGTGTCCCTACTGAAGTTTATGCTATGACAATTGAGGATGTATGACAATACAACATATATTTGTACTATACTATTTCCACTGCATGTTGCCCAATTTCTATTTATAATACTCTATATGTATTGTACCATCAGTTGGTGAAGGAAGCACTTGCTTCAGGCTTAACAGAATTCTGGATCGTTTACTTTGATCAATAAGCAAAAATCAAGCATGTTTATGTTCTGGTCTGCATCATTTTGTTATATCTAAAAGGTTTTAAACGGATTGTAAAGAGATTTTTGTATTTTTTATATGTGTATCTGGGACACTGATGGCATGAAATTGAACCATTCTAATTTTTAATCAGTCGGTGGTTCCTGCCACTAAAACTAAGTGTTTAATGACATGATTAATCACAACATATGCAAAATAAGGGAGTAGTTATGAATTTAGAAAACCTCTTTACAATCCCTTTAAATATAACCTGATTTGAGAAGTCAGAAGATACATTACCTGTAAAAGACCTTTTTGACTAGATTTTCTTGATTATTGCTGCTTGAACATTTTCTGTGGGTATTATGTCTTGTAATAAATTACTGTCTGCTACAGAAAAGTAAAGGATAAAATAGCAGTATGTAAATGTGAACAGACTGCATACTTTCAATAATATAGTTCAATATTTTCCTTGTCTTTTGCATACTTTTGAACTAACTATACTTGAGGGATGATAATTCATTGACTTTGTGCAAATAGAATCTTGACCCATTCATCTTTATGTTCTGCTTTAAGTATAGACTATATTTCTGTAATTATTATTATTATTATTAAAATGTATATCATCTTTAACACTCACAGATTTTAGTGTACTCACGTGTGCGTCTTTTTTTTCTTCCTTCACTTGCAGAAGAGCTATGTCCCGCCATCTTCCCTAGCTGTCCGGAGGGTTGGACCCCCCACCCTCTGGCCGCATATCCGGAGTTGACTCACACCGCTGCCCTGCATCACACAGCACTGTTGCAGCACCCAGCCCTAACACAGCTCCCGGTACGGGTTAGTTTTGTCTTTAAGTCATTTTTGCACTGTGCCAACATTATAAAAAATTCACTTATTAATTTATTATTCATCATGAGATAAATATAAAAAAAAATTTCGAAACTTCTAAATTTAGTCTGTCTGTCATCTTCAGTTTTATCTATTTATTTATTAAAGATTTTATTTTTGTTTTGTTTCATTCTGTTGCAGTTTAAGGTATAAAAAGAAAAGAAATTAATTTATTGCACACAAAATGCTGTTTATTGCACCGAATTGTTTTTTATTATTTTGATTTAAATTTCTGTTAAATCTGATCTTCTGTTCAACTGCACATAACTAACATTTTTGAAATTCTGTTTTGAAAATTACCGTTATGTTTGCACAGTGCAAAATGACTTTTAAAAGATTTTATTTTCATTCATAAATAGGTCAATAGCCTGTTTATATTTGAAAATAAATCTGTTTATTTTTTTATTGCTGATAAAATATGTTTCAATTGTTTATATTAACACTGTTATTGAACACATTTTTTTACTAAAAATAGCACAATGTTGTTATTTCTTGCATTGTTTTAAAAATCATTTGAATTTGTACAAAATGAAAACAATTACAAGCACCCAAACGACCAAACTTTACAAAAACTAATAGACATATTAAGTCTTGATGTTTGAAAATGAAAATGAATGAATAACCAGTGAATTTGCTGAAGTAAATCATAAAAATTTACACACATAAATATTAAAAATACATACATGCAGAATAGCTTATATTAAGACACACCTGTAAAAAGAAAATGTTACTTTGACCAATCAATTCCAAACCCAAAACGTGAATTTGTTTAAATTTTTTCAGCGAGCATGGGATGGACGAGTAGTTTCACCCAGCAATCCCCAATATGTGGTACGACAAACTTTCTCATTCTAGTTGTTCAGTAACAGTGCTAAAATATCATACCACCTCCAATTATTTTCATGTTACTCTGGCCAATCTCTAAACTATCTTTTCATTTTGAATCTGGAAAATATTTCCTACTGACATTATTAAAGTCTATGTCAAAACATTTTCTAAATAATCTGCTGCAAAAACATTCTTGACATTTTTAATACTTTATAATGGTCTAATAAACATGAAAATAAATGAGGTGGTACTTAAAATTGTATTTTTGTAATAGACACAAACTTGCAAGATTTGTGCTAAATTAAGACATAGATCCACATGCATCATCATATAAAGCATAGTTTGGAGTAAATGCATAGTTACGAGTATAAGCATAGTCAATGAAAAGTGTATTTGCATGAATATGTTATCTATAAAACTATTTATGAATGATCCAAATGGTCCTGGGTGTTTTCACATTAGTTGGAAATTCTGAATATGAAGAGACTTTTTTTCTTGAAAACTTAAAATCCAGATTTTACAATTAATCAGTACTTAGATTGATAATTTAATTTAAAATTCAAATTTATTGATTAACTTGAAAATGTGACCCAGGATCACTTGTCAAATGTTGAATGTATGTGAACCAATCCCTCTAGTATAGCAGTCTTTGATGTGTGTTTCTTCTTTTACAGATCCAGCCCACAGCCCTTATTGGCCCCCCAGCTACTATGGGTATTCCACACCCCTCTTACGCCACTACCCCCATCTTAACTAGTCCCACATCGGCAATGAACATGACCACCACCACCAATATGATGACATCACCCACTGTCCCTTGCTCAACATTATTTGTGGCTAATTTGGGTCAGTTTTGTTCAGAGCAAGAATTAAAAGATTTATTTGGAACGTAAGTGGCATTTTAAAACTACCAAAATATTTTTTTTTACTACCATGTTGTTTTACTTCTATAACTGAAGGATCTAGAAATTAAGAGTTGACAAGCCATGCCAATGAAAAGTATTTTCTGTCTGGTGAGCAATAGCTGCCCACTTATAAATACGACTCTATTGTTGCATTAACAAAACATTTCCATGTCAGTTTTATTTTTCTAAAAAATTGTTTTGCTAATTTCTACAATGGTGGAAGTGACCTGTTGTACAGACAGTTTGTTCACTATGCACTATATGTTGAATTGAATATGAATTGAATTATCAGAATCTATGGCTGTACTTGCTCAACAATTTGAATTTTTTGATGTTCAAGATGTTGTGCTGTCAGAAAAATAAAGCTATTTATTTTATGTGTTATATTTTATATAGGTTCCAGGGTTTTTCTAGAGTACGTATGCATAATAAGGGTGGTTCTCCAGTAGCCTTCGTAGAATTCCAAGTAAGTCTAATTCTAATATCTAAAACCTACAAAAATTTACATTTGAGGTATTCGTGGATATTTATTGTTAGATATTGACTTGTGTGGTGTTTTGGCTGAAAAAAAAAATTCAAGAAAAATTTGTCAGATATTGGATAATAATTATAGGAATATCTGGTGTCATGTTGGCATTTCATAGTTAAGAAGTAATTCTTGAAAGGTCATTTTTCAAAGGCTTGATCATAGAAGAGCACTAAGAACCAAATCGGTGAAAAGTATTGAAATTTGTTGATTTTTTTTTTGTAGGATTTAAGAACAGCAACTGAAGCAATGGCTCGATTACAAGGGTTTATGTTGTTGTCCTCTGATAGAGGTGGTATTCGAATTGAATATGCAAGAAATAAAATGGGGGAAGCGGTAAGCTTTACATAATAACATAATAAATGTGCGTAAAATTCTTAAATTTTTATGTTGCATGAACAGAAATTTGTTTACCATATTACGAAGGATTGAATTGTTTATTATCAATATAGGAGATTTTCAGTAGATTTGATAACAAAGACACATCCAGTTCATCTTCATAATGTCAAGCTATTATGAACTTCCTCTTAAACCTTGAGTGCAATAGACACATTTCTCAAAATGCAGTGATTTGATTGGATTGTATGTTATTGAATACAGTCAATCAGAGCTCTCAACAGAAAGTATGTAAACAATAAATCGTAATTTGAATTCTGATTGCCTATATTCTCTGGCATACATTCCGATCAGATGGTTGAATTCTGTGATAATATTAGTGACTATTGTAGTCAAGGTATAAGACAAAGTTCACCATTGCTTGACATTGTGAAGATGCACAGAGTTATCTAACTTTTGAATTAATCATGTACATCACATACATATAGCCTATGATTATCATCCACTGCTGAAAATGTGTTTTATTGAAAATAAACTGAAATGTTATGAATGGAATTTTTTTTACAAAAATTTCAATTTTTATTTCAAATTTTAGGAACTTTTATCGCCCCATTCCCACAGTGCTGAAATTGTGTATAAGACAGATTAAATTTCAATTTGGTATGAACTGTTTCTAAAAGTTGTTTTATCCAGTTTTTAATACTAACATTGTTTTGTTTGTTCTAAAAAGAAACAAAAATATAATAATTTTATTAACGGCTTAAGGAAAAAAATTCCTTTTTTTGTTATTACTAATATTTTTGAAAGAATTTTGATTAACAATTTATTTAAATCTTTCCAAATTCACATTTTTGTTAACTAAGCTGATATATGATTAGGCCTATACTGTTATTTTTTTATGTTTCAAAAATAAAACCACGAATACATTTTCATTGGTTAAATTCATTTTTTTTTTACAAGCCAATAATTATGTTTTCATGGAAATTTTAAGAAATTTTAATTTTTATTTCAATTTTTTATTATCTTTTCTTTTAATTATTTTTTTTACTTTTTGTTGAATTACACTGATAAGTTTCCAATTAGAAATACAAACACACTCTGCTGGTGGAAAATATAGAGTCAAACTAATCTTTAAGCTCTTGAGTAAACTAAAACACCTGACGTAACTAGTTTGTTATCTCAGCATCTTTAGCTGAAAGAGCTCCATTTTAACAATATAATGTATCACTTATCAAAATTGAAATCCAGTATCTGGTTCTCCTGCAAGTTGAGACTGATATCACCCTTAGATGTTATTTCTCACATGCAGATAATACTAATATCACGATAAAATTGAGTGATTATACTTAAATGACATAATTATACATATTGTGATGCTACCATATAAAATATTTTCACTGTTAAGATAGTACTGAATACATGTTTCAGGGTCATTAATAATATTTCTAGTGAAATGCTATTAATTTCATACATTACTTGATCCATTCAGTATTTTTACAAAGAGTTCTGTTATGTTTTTTTCAGGGTAGGAAAGACGAGTTTCCAATAATTCATTCTCCAGTTGCCATGGCATTCTAGAGTATTTCCACAAATAGGGGACAAGATTGTCACGGATTATAAGTTATTGTGATATTAAAATATAATTATATCCCAATTTTCTACTAATTATTGAATGAAATGCTATATTATTATAATTATTAATGTTGAATTTGTGAAGTAGCTTTTGGCACAATGTTCATCACCACTACCTATTTATAGAAGACTTGTTACACAGAAATAAAGGGCTTAGAGACACTATCCCAAAATTGGGTTGTTTTGTAAAGGCTTTCATTAGTGAGTAAAATGAGGACAGAAATGATAGTTGTCTCCCTTCACTTGTGTGAAGTATGAAAATGATTATATGAATATAGGTTAACCTCTATTTCGAAATATAATTTAACAAACACTTCTAACAACATTATTTGCTATGCATACATGAAGAAATAACTGCCTTGTCATACATATACAAGTAGCAATCTTTTCTCAGGCATATTTGCTATAGCCCTATTGCTTAATGTAAGTATAGCAATATTTGCAGTTTTGTTTGAATATTGTGCCAAGAAGCTACCATTTTATGTGTGTGATTTATGAAATGTCGCAACCATTTTCATGAATGAATGCAAGAAAAGAAATAGGAATGATAATGTTTGCTTTTTGTAATTGTTATTAAGATTTTATAACAAATTACTATAAATATAAGTCATATTTTATAAACATCAAATTAATGTAGGATTTGTAACTTATCCCACCAAAAAATACTTTTTTTGATCAACTCTAGGCTTAGTATGAAGTAGATTTTGAATGGATTTGTTTCAAATCTGAGATAATTTTATTGTTCAAAAATGCCAATGGGTAAAAGAAATCCAATTTTGTAATATTTGTTCAAAAATTGTAATTTTGAAACTATATTATATGTTGTCTTGTTGAGTTTAATGGATGTCTATTTCAAACTTACTCCCTTTTTGCAAATATCAATTTATTATTATTATCATTATTGTAAAATTGTTATTCATTTTTGTAGTATTTCCATGGTATTGAAAGTGTCATCGAAGAACACATTTAGAACGAATCCTTTTTTTTTACTTTCAGTACATTTCTTGTAATGTATGAAGTTACCTCCTATTAACAAGTTGATTTGCAAGTTTTTTAAATTTGATTGAGATATAGATTATCAAGGATTTTTTACGTACATTCTGTTATATTTTCTTATATGAACAAATCAGTTCTTTAATGATTTAATACAAGACAGGATTGTTAAGTGGATTCCTAAATTTTTTTCTGTATCAGGGACACTGATAGCATCAATTTGCACCATTCTAATTTTTAATCAGTCTATGGTTCCTACATTTTTACTAAAACTAAGTGTTTGATGACAAATCACGAAGGGTCTTATGTGATGATGCATATTTTGTGATTAGTGACATAATCAAACACTTAGTTTTAGTGGAATTGCAGGAACCACAGACATCTGATTGAATACTGGAATGGTGAAAATTGATGCTGTCAGTGTTCCACTATACACATGACAAATTTAGAAAACCTCTTTACAATCCCTTTAAGATCCAAGAATTTTATTGCTTCTCCTATCATTGATCTTAATGAGGTGTTTTCTATGTTTGGATTTGTCTCAGAATGTTCTTTAACATCTTTGCTGAACTTTGCTGCATCAGTCAAAATATATATGCATTGTATAACTATTTATGCACTGGTATGCAAAATGTCGATAGAAAGGAAATATGGGAGGCAACTTCAGCTTTCAGGATTCTCTGGTGTCTATTTCTAAAAACTAAATTTCCGTCCAACAAAATTGTACATATCGGAGTCTAAGGTGTCATCGAAATCTGACATGAAATTGTGCCGTTTTTCCAATCCTTTATGTTAATGCTTAGATTTTGAGGATCACTTTGTTGTTCACATTTGTCAATATTTAGTTTTTAAGTTTAAGAAGTTTAGGAAATATTTTGTTCACTGTTCAAATGTGTTCACGTAAATAGTAGATAGGTAGACTCAAAGTGTTGACGGCAGTAGATTCAGACCACTATACATTCTCTGTAGACTCAGAAAACAGCTATACAATACTCAAATTGGACTCAAAATATGCAAAAGAAATATATTCAATTAACACTTAGAATTGTTTTTAAAAAAATACTCAACAGAGTTTTGAACAAATAGAATTAATTTGGTATGCAAAAAAATTACAAATTGATAGTATCTGTAAATTTGTATGTATATGTTGTTGCTATTCTCTGTACATATACTAATTAATAATATTGTGTTAAACCATTGGTTGCGAGGTTTCACCTATCAACGACTTTGTACAGTCCTTAACATTCCAAACTTCGGTTTTCATTCATTTAGTTATCTTTTTCTTTGATTGTATTTGATAAATTATTTATATATATATTTTTTTTTTCGTTCAGTTTGAGACTGGAAAAAAAAAGTTATAAATTATTATTATTATTATGTTCAATTGTTGATCCTTATGCACCTAAGTTATTTATAGAAAATGTTAATCAAAATTTGTAACATCTTACTTATTTTATCAGAATGTGTAACTATTTATAGTAGAGTAGCCTTAGATATAACATGTAGTTTCATCATAAGAAAAATGTATCAACTTTATTGAAAATAGCTTGCATTAATGGAATATTTGCATGGAATTGCAAATGATATTCTTATTTTAAGGGGTTGTTGAAAGTTTTTTTTTTAAAGTTTTGTGGATAGGGCATATTGATAGCATTGATTTGCACTATTTCAAATTTCAATCAGACATCTGTGGTTCTTGTATTTCCACTTAAACTAAACGTTTTTTAACATCATTACTGCTAAAGTTGTACATCGACGGCAATTTTTGTCATAGTGATGTTATAAAAGGCTTATTTTTTTAGTGGAATTGCAGGAACCACAGTGGTCTGATTGAAAATTGGAATGTTGCAAATTGATGCTATCAGTGTCTCTCTGATAAACTAAAAAATTTAGAAAACCTCTTTATAATCCCTTTAACCCTAACATGACCTACTGTCATTGTTGAAATAATTTTTGACTTGTTGGACTCAGATCATTGGTAGACAGTAAACAGGTATGGGTTAATGTATTAATTGAATTAGAAATTTCCTCAACAATAAAAAATCCATAGATGTATATATTTATTTTAATAATGAGTAATTAATGAAAAAATTTACATATATCAATTATGTTGATGATGCCAATTATTTATTCCATTTAAAATGTTAAATATATGTTATATCATTATTATTATTATTATTATTAAGTGCTCTATTTACATGTATGTCATATCTATATTGAAATAATGGACAGGGATTCCACTTTGTTGATAATCAAAATACGAGTGCAAAGTCTTTAGAGTAGAGTTTGCTGAAAAGAAACCAGCAAGATTTTTTCTGAATATTTAGAGAACAAAATAATTCTTTTTTAAGTCTGTGCTTTCAGTTGATTTGACTTTGTTTTTAATTAGTATGGAATCAAAATATATTGCAATCAAGTGGATTAAACAGTAGTTTAGAGAAATTCCACTCAAAGGAATCCTTGTTTTGAAACTATACTAGTTATAAACAGTTAAAGAAATACTGCCTCTTAAAATAGACAGAAAAGCTAAAGTCTAAAACTTGGTCAATAAGAGTATATATTCCTCAGTTGGACTTTCTAGATGCCATGACTAAAGAATAGAATCTCTATATAAGACGATATTTCCATTAAACTAGTTAACTATTGAAAAACGATTCTAAGTAATGTATTATATAGTTTTATAGATTAATTGGATTATAGAGGGATTCTTTTGAATTCACTGCGGAACAAAGACTCATTTTGGCCAAGTTAAAAATATTCAATTTTTTGGTCATCCTAAGTGGTAGTATACCTTTACAAAAAATGTACTTGGCACTATGAATTATTTGATCATTATTGTTGTACTTGTTGAATCGTGTGTGTGATTAACTGTTATTTTATGAGAATCAGGTCTCTGTGTTAACCCTTTCATCATAAGCTGTCACTCCTTCAACCAAAAGAAATGGGCGATGTTGGTTGATTGACTTGTTGTTCAAAGGGTTAAACTATCTTATTAGTGTTCTAAATATATATAAAAGATTTACAAATTATTGTTCATTTTCATCATCCATTTGAGAATTGAGCCATTATCTTTATTTACTCTCATTTTGTGAACAAATTGACGACACTGGCTTGCTTGTTGTATTTAAATATTAACAATTATTTTGTCTGAATTTCAAGTCTTTCATAAATCATATTAAACTCAAGATTTTTATGGCATTTTCAGTAAGAAGGAATTTGTCCATTACCATATTTTGGATCTAAAAATTAGCAGGAACATACGGAGAAGGATCAACATACACTGTACAATCATTGGGTCAAAATGTAGGGAAACTGTTTGAAATGACAGCTCATTTTTACAGACTTGTAATTCAGACAAGTATTTAGTAATTGTGGATGTCTCTTGCTTAGAAACTAGTCGATATAACGTTAATATATTATATTTTGTTTGTATAAATAATTGATGTCTCGAAATACAATGAACATTTTGCCTTTCATTCAGAAACTAAACAATGGTTGTGATGAAAATTAGGTGGTTTAAAAAAAAAAGTTCTGACCTTTTTATTCTTATACTCATATTAACAATTCAAATTTCTATATTCAATGTACATTTGTTTACAAAGTGCTTAGATAAACATATTGTCAACAATTTCAAATGTTTTTTGCGAATTTTGTTTAGGATCCTGTTTTTGTATCAAATTTTTTGTAATTGATAAATGAAAATCATGACTTTTTGAACTTCTCTAACATTTTCATTTTTCATTCAAATTTAAAAAAATCCTAAATGAGTCTATATTTTGTTCGAGAATTGGAAACCCTGTTTCAGATGCATCCCGTCAAATTAACAGAACTTTGTATATGGACGGCTATTGCGATTCTCTCCCTTGGATGCAAGTGCATTACCTACATAGAAAATACTTGTATAGTTAGAATTATTAATATATACTATATTATATATATTACTTGCTAATTATTCTTCTCTTTTGTGCAATGATCAGGGTTTGCTCAAGGATTGAGTGTCGGTAGGATTACGATATTATGATGTCATCAGCTTCTTTGCATAATAAATGTGTTGTATATTAAGGAACAGATAATTTGATAACCACTCATTATTTTGTACAAAAAGTACTATATTGTACTCAAAACAGCTATTATTAATGTGTGGGGATGGACAAATTTAAAAATACTGAAATTGAATTTAAATATTCTGTACATTTTTTCTATTTAATTTGGAATTGATATAAACAAAATAATCGTGGTTTGGATTCTGATGTGTGAAATCCATACACCAACTGTAATGACTCTATGATCAATTTTTGTATCCTCTTCTCCTTTCTTCTTGTATGTATGAAACTATTGTTAAAGATGTATTAAAGTGTCTATATCTGTGATGTATATAATTTGAGGGATGCTCCTTCAAGCTGGTGACATCATAATAAGAATTATATCTATATGATTTTTTTTAAAGGATAGATAACTAGCTGGCAATTTTTTTTAATTATCTGGAAGTTATTGTTCTCTACATTTAATAAATTGGTATTCTCAAATAGTAACTTTTTCATCAGGAAGCCGCCATATTGTAATTTGTCCAAAATGAACCGAAATGGAAATGTTACAGCATAATGACTTGAACTTAACAAAAGTTAATCTGCTTGAAAAATTTGTCGCCCCAGGAAATCTTGAATACCCCCCCCCCCACCCCTTTACTTCTGCAATCTACAATAACCCCCCCCCCCCCCCCTATTAGCCCCTCGCGTATTCCTTCCCCGTTTGAAATTTGTATTATTTGTTAGCCTTGAATGACTGATTTGTTCTGCCAGCGACGACTTTTATACTATTTGATAACATAAATTTATGTGAGATTCGCGAATTCTTCTTTTTGAACAAATGTATTCAAATTCCTCTTCTGGAACTTAAAAAACCGAATGTATCCTCTTTTGCATATGATACACCATGTTCCTGAAGCAACGGTACGATTATCCGTAGTAGCATTATCATGTAACGTTGCTTAAGTATAGGTTAATAGCCGAAAGCAGTCCAATAATGATCGTAACACAAGGACAGAAGGTCCGCGTCCGCGTGTTACGTCATAATTGAACGCATTGGACTGCTTGAGGACCATTAACCTACTTAAAATACAGATTACACAAATAATAACATCTACTCATGCACGTGCAATATTACAGGTCACATGAGATCAACTCACGTACCATAACATATACATATTGAAACTTTTTCAAGCTGTCCGGTCAGGATTTATCAAAATTACTATGTTCCAGGTAAATAATATTAATATTTTATCACTTCATCATTCATTTCAATATTCAATGATAAGGGGTGGTAAAAATGTATAAGCGATATCGATGATTATTTACATGCAAGCACATTCAGGGTATATTCTTTAAGTCATTTTAATTTTGTTTGGTATCTTATAACATACCATTTTCCCCCGAGATGGCTTGTCCTAAATATGTTTGAAAAAGACATCTCCGATCGATGTGTTATGCCACATTATAGCATATCATCTTATATATTATGACCACTTTCTGATGACAGTAAGCCCAAAATTGAATTTATTTCACAAATATCCACAATATTATACATTTTCATGTTATTTGTCTAAAAATGTCTTTGGGTTCATAGAAATGTAATGTTTGGAAATTTCATATTTGAAATAAACACGTCGATTAATTTTTTGGGGAAACTGACTTAGATTTCGGAACTGAAAATTTCCTTCCGTAAAATGATATTTTCAACTATAAAAGTGTTTTTTTGAATTTTTCGATATTTTCCAAGAGAATTGGAATATCAGCTTCAAAATAGTACTGATAGTCTTTGAATATCTTCGTGTTGGTAAAAATATGCTCTGTTGTAAGTTTAAATTGAAAAACTCATTTCCGTCCTTGAAATTTCAACCCCCAAAATTCACAAATTTTTGCTGAAAATGGGCCATTTTAAAAGCAAATTTTGAAGACAATAATGTGTGCTTTACTTTGCTCAGACAATAATAATTTTTTTATTGTTTGGCATTTTCTTTCAACCCAAGGACAGTCTAAGACTATTAGCCCAGTTTTAAAGTTAATATTTCATTTTATACAACAATATAAGCAGAAATACAATTCAGTAAACATTACGATCGGACACTAGAATTTACTAGAATTTACATTTTTTGTGGCCAAAACATCAATCTTAGTAAAATTCAGAAATAAGTCAACTGCACTTATTGTAAAATCACCCGAAGTGAATATTTATCAATCATGTTACGACATCACAACAGTCCAAAATTTGCCGCCATATTAAAAAAATAATGTAATTTTGACGGGTTCTTTATCCTGAGTATTCAAGTCTTACCCAGGTTCTTTATTCTGAGTATTCAAGTCTTACCCAGGTTCTTTATTCTGAGTTTAGAAGTACCAACCAAGTTCTTTATCCTGAGTATACTAGTCTTACCCAGGTTCTGTATTCTGAGTATACTAGTCTTACCCAGGTTCTGTATTCTGAGTATTCAAGTCTTACCCAGGTTCTTTATTCTGAGGATTCAAGTCTTACCCGGGTTCTTTATCCTGAGTATTCAAGTCTTACCCAGGTTCTTTATTCTGAGTATAGAAGTACCAACCAAGTTCTTTATCCTGAGTGTACAAGTCTTACCCAGATTCTGTATTCCGAGTATACTAGTCTTATCCAGGTTCTTTATTCTGAGTACACAAGTCTTACCCAGGTTCTGTATTCTGGGTATTTAAACTTTACTCAGGTTCTTTATTCTGAGTATACTAGTCTTACCCAGGTTCTTTATTCTGAGTATACAAGTCTTATCCAGGTTCTTTATTCTGAGTATACTAGCCTTACCCAGGTTCTTATTCTGAGTATACTAGTCTTACCCAGGTTCTTTATTCTGAGTATACTGGTCTTACCCAGGTTCTTTATTCTGGGGTACCAGTTTTACATTTTGGGGACAAGTTTTACTTTTTATATTGGTGTCATCCATGTCCGTCCGTCCTAAAACATTAAGTATGAGTTATTGCTCATACTGCTAAAATCACCCACGGATGAACGATATTGAAAATCAGAAACATCGAAAAATATATTTTACAACGATAACAACTTCAAGGTTCACAGCTAAGGATCCTTTCTACCAGCTGGTCCTTGGCCAAACCTCTTGGCATTGGTCTTTCTTTGATTGTCCATACCCATTTACAGCCAGGTTGACTGAAATTAGGAGTGCAGATGATTTATTCTAGGTCATCTGACTATCACACGCCGAACGAGAATTGGACCCACGGCCGCCATTTAGCATTAGTTATTGCTCCTGTTCTTGAAAATGTGTTAAATTAACACTCATTCGAAGCGAAACACTTATAGTTTGTAGTTTGGATTCGAAATTCCAGCCCAATTGCCCGTACACTCTAAAAGTTACAATTATTGACAGATTTTGACAAAACTTGGTGTAATTGTTTAGTATTACCCAAGAATGAACCCGAATGAAAATCAACAAATCGATAATATTAAGTACAAGTTATTTCCTTTCTTCTTGTTAGCTTGAAATTGCGAGTTACTACCCTTGTTCTTGAAAATGCGTGCAACTTTTAGCTTATAAACAATTCTTGATAGATTTTGACAAAACTTCTTAAAATTGTTTCTTATCACTCTTGGTTGAACTCTATTGAAATTAACAAAATTAAAAAAAATATTGAACCGCGTTCAATGTTAAGGTCTTGAACACTGTAGAAGGCACAAGTCTTGATGAAATTTCAGTACAAACACCGAATCAATCAGTGCCCTTTCGTTCACCAGAATTTCACCAGGATTCGTGTAAATCAATCAACAATTTTGCCTTCTAGGGCGTTTACGAAATACAAATTGAACGCGTGAAGGGCAATAACCCATATTAAATATTTTAGTATTTTTCTTTTTAGATTTTCAATAGGTTAGTGTTCACGAGCTAAAAAAAAATTAAATGCATGTTTTAAAACAACAAGGGCAATAATTCATACTTGATATATTTCGATTCTTCATCCATGGGTGATGTTAAAGTTTCATCAAGTTTTATCTACATACGTCAAGAAATGTATATGATTGAAGGCGAATTACTGTAATCTTTACATCTTTCAATGATAGGGACTTGATATTCTAATTATCAGAACGAGAACGATGGACCACAGAGGTATTTATTTTTTCATTATTTTTAACATTTATTTTTTTGGAAAAAAATAAAAAGATGTAAGGATAAATAAAATAATAATAAAAAAATGTTGCATCTAAATTAAAATAAATAAATAAATAAAATAAAATAAATAAAATTTTCGTTATTCTACATGACAGTTCGAATTTGACCAGGTCATTAATTACGGAGCGGATTTAGGGTTTCCAACCTAGTTCATTTCAACAGAGATCCATGACCGAATTTACTACAAACCTGGTCTTGGTGGAGGTACAAGATTTACATATTGAACAGCAGTTCATCCTGATTTATTGGCCAAAACTTACAATTCTAGTTCCATTTTTATACAGTGAAGTTATCTGTAATTAAATGAAGATAAGTCTAAATATGACATTTATAAATAAAATACATTTCTGATGTTACAAAAATTCCCATCGCTATGAATATTTTAAGGCGCATCCTTACAAATCGCCAACTCGCAGTCAACCGCAAGCATCATTATTAATGTTAATGCAATGTATTTACGACAAAAGTGGACACGGATAACTAACAGGAACATACGAGGTTCTCGGTAAAGTGTCTTAACATGTCCATTGTGTTTTATGTGTCAAATCACTGCCCGTGTTCTTCCCTCAATAGGTTTGAAGCAATACCTTACAAGTATGTTTCAGTTTTTAATTCTTTTTCGTTATTTGATGTTTTACAGTGAATGACGGAAAATTTTGATCATATAGGTTGAAAGGCACTGATGTAGGCATTAATGGACGCCGCTCGTAATAACTCCTACAAATCGTATACTTAACGTTATAAATCGTTATATCTTGCGCGCAATTTGCGGATGGGAGTTATTTACGTAAAAAATAATTCAGGAAAATCATGAAAATATTTTACGAGTGCCCGCAACTTTTGCTCAGAATTGTGATAACTAAACACCAAAATCTAAAAACTATCTGAAAGTCTTAACTAAAGAAATGAAGCCGTCACAAATACTTAAAAATATAACGTAAGGTCTTTAAGTTCGTTTTGCTGTTTGGAAGCTGTTTGAAAACTAGTGTACGGACTTGAGTAAAGTAAAATAAACGCCTAATATGTCTCCTACGTAGGCTATTCTGAAGGTTTCAATTAATAATATCGGGCTTTTATAAAGCCAAACACCAAAACTGCTTAAATAATAATTAGTACTCGCTATTTTTAATTAACCCTTTTATAACAATTCAGTTTGATCAAGAAGATACATGGATATAAATATCATACTTTAGAAATATTTTCAGTTATTAATTACGACGTGTTTGATAATGAAAACCTTTTTACAAAAAAGCGGAATGCCTCCATTTGCTAACAGTTGCGTGAATTGGACGAATACTAATTTATTTTGTTATGCGATCAGACAAAATTATCGGTTATCACAATTGTGGATCAGACAAAATTATTATCACAGTTGTATACGACAGAATCAAAACATATATTCAGAAGATAAACACTATGCTGTTAGATAAACGATACTATATTAAATAAACCGGGGTATAAATTCATGTAAGAAAATGCACTTTGTCCGGCGAGTAACTTTCTTTGCTTCAGCTGACTGAAATAAATTTCGATTTGGGTCCGGATAATATATTTTTTTTCTGTTCGTGGACAGATTTGATTCCACAATTTCCAGCTTTTTGTTTTCATACCTTTAAAGGGCTTCCTGTAAGATAGTGGTAAATCGATATGGTATTGCTTTCAGAAAGGGTTTGGAACCAATATGGTAAGCTCTCTGGAGTGAAGAGCAGTATTGCTGATTGTAGCCCAACGAAATTGTTCTTTTGTCTGTAAAGAAAATGTAAAGAGCTTTAATGGTAAATACATGAGAATCACACCAATACACATATACTTATAAACTATTTAGGCCACCAAAACAAAATAATAGATTCTGATCAACATTTAGTGCGATCCACTAAACGTTATCTAACATTTGTGTAGACAATTGAAGCTTGGTTTACACGATGTACTGTTATGAGTATGCACTTAATTATAATTTGTAACTATTTAAGTCTTTAACAGAGATCACACTAGTCTACTCTGGAACATTCCATACAGATAAAGAATATCTGAAAATATTTTGTAGAATATTCTTAAACCCAATGAGTTAGTATATAAACCCATGCCCTAAGGTGGAAGCATTTCTCTGGTTGTGTCAAGATTATGTCATATTTTAAGTAGGATTATTTGTATTATTTGTTTATTCATTATCACTTTAAATAAATAATTATAGCGATAACTGATTATTCGACTTATTTCATTGTTACGTTTCATGTGCCACACATTATACTTTTCTTAACGTAACAGTACTCATCTTAAACTTGACAAGCTGATAAATAAAAGCAGTCACAGTCTTGGCCATAGGTCTAGTTGATTTGGCGTTTTGTCCTTACACTTAACAAGTTTCTTATAGGATGGCATTTTAACCTGTGGCGTTTCTATGAAACATCAAGTGAGGGGGATCGAGCAGGGGCCACAGGTCATTTTTTCAATATGTAAAATAATAAACAATTTGAAAGTGGGTGGGGCCTACAATGAAGCAATGGTGTTAAGACTAGAAACGTTTTAAATGGTTCAAAAATGTCTACGATCAACACGATGTATTGTCAATGAAGATCATTGTCTTAGATCGTATTGCATTGTCATAAAGTGCTTGTGCTCATACAAATAAGCAATAGACAACTACAGTTAATCTTTGATACACTGAAACTACGTTAAAAGTGGTATGTGAACATGTTAGAGACAACACCTTTTGTCAGATTTTGTAAAATTTATTGTGTTTTTGGAGAAGTTTGAATTTTGATGTTGTTACAACCCTTATCTACGTTAATAGTGGATTGTAACAAGACATTTCATTTTGTACGAATTTTATGAAATTAGCGACTAGGTTTATTAGGTTTTAGACAAACGGAGTTGAAACCCTTTCAAATTGAAAATATGGTTAAAGTGGACTGTGAACGAGATAGGGATTACAGTTTTTGTCACCTCTTGATGTACTGAAACCGCTTGGGTTTTTTTATTAATAGTTTTTCTTTATGTTACCCCAACCGGTTTGGCAATTGGCAAATTTAAATGTATTATTTATAATTTGTTCCGAAGTAGAAAATTGCTATTATATATTATGTCCGAGGTCGAGATATTGATTGTAATAATATTTAAGCATACTTACCCCTCTGGATCGTAATGATAGTTAGACTTACCGACCCATCTTAATTGTAATAATATTTAAGCATACTCACCCATCTGGATTGTAATAATATTTAGGAATACTTACCCATCTTAATTGTAATAAT